CTTAGAGTCCCTATTAGTTAAGGGCCTCTGGGTAGTCCTTTCTGGGCCCTTTGATATGGGGTGAGGGGGGAGAAAAACAAGCAAGCAACTTGGCTACTACAGCGTAGATCTCAACTATGCTGAAATGTTTGGTTTTGCCAGCTCTTTTATTATACAGCTTGTTTGTGCAAGTCACAGCAAAACCAGACTCGGCTTGTGCTAAGGAAATAGCACAATGTTTCATAGTGTGATGTTATTGCCTGATAACCATCAAGAGGAGGCACAAAGCAATGGCAATGAAAATGAAACAATGAGGAGCAGCCAAGAGTGGACGAATTCTAAAATTCAGAAATACCTGAAATATATTGTTGCTCTTCTGGCATTAAAATCACCTGACATTTTCATGGCCTCCTCAGGGGATCCCTTTAAAATTCTTACCTATTGCTATCACCAAATCCAAATCACACAAGCCCCTCTACAGACTGAGGGTTTTCCTTTGAAGTTTGCTGAAGACTTTAGCAAAGACAGCTTTAGGTCAGTTTGCACCCTTCTTTACTCTTTCTGGGCACAGTGTTATTTTGCAGTTTGCCAGCATTCTTAGGTGGCACCATCGTAAAGGGAACATGCAGACATACTAAAACTCCTAAGAGACAAACCAGCTCCTGGCAGTGCATTTCCTTCATGTTAGTTCTTCGGGATAGGGTATGTTTTGGCATCATATAATTTCTTTGATCAAATAATTCTCCCAACACTTCTTGCATGGTGACTCTCTCCTTGAGAGACAGCTCATCATTTCATACTGTACTCCTTACCTGCCAGGTTTCTTGAGGCTGTGGGGATGTCTAGGGGAAGGGGAAGCTTCTCCAAACCTAGTTAACTACATAAAGATTTGTACTGACTCTGCACCAATGAATTCTGGTTCACATATGAAAATCCCTTCTCCCAATTTTGTGTGACACTTAGAACGCTGATACAGTTGTTACAATAATCCTGTCTGACCTGCTTCAGGTTTCAGAGGCTTTTTATCTAGTCTCTTGAAAGACTGCATTTCCCCTGAGAAGAGGAGAGAGACAAAAGTAACTGCTGAAGGAACTAATTTCCAAAGAGCTTATTCCAAATCTGGGAAGATTCCTTTATTCCATTAAAATCCTTTCATTATCAAGAAGACAGCAACCAAAAAACAAATGAACACATTTTCACATTTTCTGCTTTACATCTGAATTTGAAAGTGCAATGTGGCTTCTTCAGCTTTAAAAATGGCTACTACAATCAGTCTCTGCTAACAATTTCAAAAGAATGGCAGAAGATTGGCTTTGTTCCCAAGATGAAGATGAATCATGTTGTTAGTATAGTGTGAGGTGCCATCAAAGGCAGAAGGCTGTAGCAGTGATTGTTTTGTAGGGCTGGGAGTTGGTTTTCCTCCTTGATGTGGTTCATACCCTCTTCAGTAGACACGAGTATCAATCTGGTACTTACTGCTCCAGAGTTTCTTATTAGAGCTCCTGTTCTGCAAGCTTCACTTTTCCAAATCTCTGCCTGCTGGCAGAGGCCAATTACAATCCAGTCAGACTGCCTCTAGAATACACCTTGAAAGCCTGCCCATACTGAGAGAGAATATGAGAGTGAATATGAGAGGGAGAGAGAATATGAGAGAGAAAGTATATGAGAGAGAGAGAAGCAGGGTGTGTGTGGGGAGAAGCTCACTCTCTTTCTTTACTTCCAGAAGAAAGCAAAACAATTCCAATGGCCTAGTTTCTGCTCCCCCTGTATATTTCTTGGCTTGCCAAGGACTTAAATTGTCTTAGCACAGGCATGTTGCTGACATGGTCAAAGACTGCTTAGCCTTCAGCAGTGAAATAAATCTTGCCCTAACAAGCTATATCCTGTTGCAACACTTTTCCTGCTGTTCTACAACCTGATGTTGAGGTTATCAACCTCACATTCACACTTCCTCCTTTCATACAGATCTTTTCATAGACCTTCCAAAAAGTATTTGACATTGACCTTCCCCTTGGATACCCATGCACACCAGTGCCATCACCAGAGGAGAAACCTTGACACAAGTAACCAGTGACTAATGCCACTCTGTCTTAAGGATTTGAGTAGAATTCCATCTTGAACTCATCTGCAGAGTCATAGGCCTTGTCTAGACTTCCCTTGATGCCAGCTTCTGATATTCTTGCTTTGAAACTTTGACTCATTAGCATTCGACACTTGTTCTTGCCTGTTATTGTTTCCTGTTTCTTCTTTCTGAAATGTTAAGATATGAATTTTTGTCCTGGAGGAATGAAAACTACATCTGAACAACTTCTGATATTCCTTCTTTCCATAGAAAGACTGAAAATCAAGTAATAGAAAAGGATGAGGAAAAAATCTAAGTAGTCATAATAATTTTTTTCTAGATTTCGCTAGGAGGGGATATAGTGAATCTCATGAAGACAGTTCTGAACAATTGCTGATATTAACTCATTATCAGGAAAGGCAAAGGCCCCAGTTATTTAAAAGCATCTCTCTTCTGAAAAACAAAAAAGGGCAACAGCTCTTGTAGCTACGACCAAGAAACAGAAGTTATTCAAGAGGACCATGGGCCTTTCAGCAGGTATGTGGGAACAGTGTGTGCAACACAGAAAACCTAATTGCTCCTTCTTTGCCAGGATTTTACAGTAAGATCACTGTTATGTATGTTTTGCTATTTTCTCCAGATCATTTTAGTAGCAAAAGTAGTGTGGGGTTTATGGAGTAAGTGATGATTGTATACTTGCAGTTGATGTCCAAAGGCAGTCATGGCATAAGCAGAGATCTGGATGGTATCAATGCTAATAAGCTACAACATTATTTACAATAAACCTGACACAGGCACCAAAAAGGTCTGTTACCTTTGTTGTAAAGGCTGTACCACTATAAAAACTCCGAAGGTACATTATGAAACGCAGGGTACCTTTCAGCATTTCACTAACCAAAGAAGCAACTATTTCTTATTGCAGATCACAATCCTACTTGTGTGCAAAACCCATCTAATTGTTCTAATGTAATATATTTACATTCTTATTGCTTTTGTTTGTTCTGCTTTTAATCTGGTAAAACAAGGTATTTCTGTGTCATCCTCTTGCTGAGAACTGCTATTTTTTTTTAGACTGCCTAACTTAAGGCATCCCTTATTCTTTATCAAATTTGTATTACTGTGCAAATCTAGTGAGACTGATCCAGTTTGCTCTAAGAAGGAACAAATGCAACCAAAATCTGTGGGTATTTTTCTTAATGTCATGCAAACTGAATTTGTTCTCCTTCAAAATGTACCTTTCTTTTCCTACTTATTTGTAAATTAGAATGAAACAATGTCGTGCTATCAGTGGACCCCAGATAGCTGAAGAGAACCTATTTCTAGCTGTTTGCATCTCTCATAAATTGCTAAACTTCAGCCCCATATACCTGTAAATCTTTATCTGGCATCCCTATTCCTAATTCTTTATTTAAGGTTGAAATACAACTCTTGCTTAGGCAATCACTTAGATCAGCAAACATAAAAGCAAACAACCTGATGGAGTCAGTGTTTCACTTTCAGTTATTTTAAGTGAACACTTTTTTCAATACCTGCTAAATTTAAGGCCATATAAAATTGACCCTTTTTGAGTCAGGATCAGATAAATCCAGTTGTCTTGTTTTAACACCATTTCTAACTACCTATTTAATTTCAAAAGAGAAACCTAAATGCTGTCAGTTGTATGATGGATTGGATCTGTAGTGGAGATTTGAATCACATAACCTCTCAGCCACATTACACAGCTGTAAACCTCTAAATCTTGGCATACCTTGGAATTTGTATCCCTGATGACTACTAATATTTTGGTTGTTGTTATCTTTGCACATCTGGGTTCGAGTCTGTCATTGAAGTCCAACACATAATCCATGGTAGAAAGGCAAAAATTGATTAAGGTTTTCCAGCCACATATTCTATATCCAAAGTCAGTAACTTGCTGTAAATACATGGGCCAGGAAAAGGCTTTGTGAGCTCAGTCCACAGCCAGAGCAGGTTGTTATAGGTAATTCTGCACAGAAAACTCATCAGTCTAATTATGCAGTTCATTAGTCCACATGAAAATTCTGTCACTGTTAGAAGGCCTCCCTACTATCTGTCGTACTTAAATATACATTAGAAAAGCTAGAAATTTGTTCTTGCCTACCTCATTTATTCTTGTGACGTTGGCCTTTACTTTCAGTTAATCTTTTTTATTTAAATAAATGGTGGTTCTTTCTACAGTTATTTCCTTGCCTTTTTTCTCTTGTTTTATTTTGCTTTTTAAAGAGCTGCGGTTGATAATCAACATTCATCAACTGTTTGCCCTCTGTTCTCATGATGTATTCAGTTCCTCACAGGAAAAACGGTTGTCTGTTCAGATTTCAGAGATTAGGAAGCTTTTAAATATTCATGATGATTATTTAGCCCTTCTGCTGTTTATCATATAGTGCCTCACTATGATATACTTTATAAAACATCTGGGTCATCACACAATGAATATTTAATCTAACTATAAAATAAATAAGCAAGCAGTATCTTTACTCTTTTTACTCTAAAAAAGTACTAAAGATCTTGAGTTTTCTTTTGTTGGTGGATTTCTCAAATGTCCTCAAATCTTTTTAGCTTTTTTGACTGATCCATCCCTCCCTTAGGTATAGCAAACATGTTGCTCCAATACTGACAATTCTAAATGCCTCTTATTCATCTTTTCTACTTCAATGTATAGTTTCCAGGCAAGTCAATCTCTTGCTTGTAGCTTGCAGAAAAACAAAGCCAGCCTACCATTTAAACATGTGTCACAGTCAGCATAATTTCTGTAAAGCATTTAAGATATATCAGCAGTATTGTATAAGAAATGCGTTAAGCTTTACATTAAACACTCTATCTATTCTGAGATTAGGCACTGTTTACTTACAGCCACATGGCAGATACCAAAAAAGAGAAATTCTTTATGCTCTGCTTCAGCCTTAACAATACATTGTGAATTATCTCTTTTTAGGGAATCAAAAAACCTTTTACTGAAGTAATTAAAGCCAACATTGGAGATGCACACGCAATGGGACAGAGGCCAATCACCTTCCTCCGTCAGGTAAGAATATTATAAAATATTATTCTTGATTTTTTATTAATTACCAAGAATGCCTTAATATCTGTCTGATGTGTGTATTAGTATAAATGCATCCCTAGATGCACTTAGACTTAAAATAGTTCTTTTGTAAAGAATTACAAATTTTTATTTCTGAGACAAAGTCCTATACCTTGCTTGCTGAGTGTCCTCTTTCAACACAGTGGCTTTCCTTACTTTTCAGATCATTTCCCACCCATGTTTTCTTCTGCCACTTCTCCTATGTTATCAGTCATCACATTCATCATCAATAATGTACTTCAAAAAAAAAAGTGTTTGTCTTCAAAGAAAAAAGCAAATTTTATTCTTCATCTGCCAGTATACTTTAACATCTGCACGCAGTTGGGTGCAACTAGTTGTACTGTTGCTGATTTTGCACATTTTATCTCTGGGCAAGCTAATTGGTAGGTTAACTTTTAGGAAAGACTACAACAGAATCCACATTTGTATATTATTCCTAAAGCACAAGCAAGGTTTAAAACTAACATTATGCTATTTACTGAGTATCCCTTACACACACATATAAAATCCTCAGGCTATAATAATGTAAATTCAGAGAGTTCTAGGACAAACTGAAGCCGTATCAAACTGGACATCCAGGTGATGAGGTTATAAAACTGAGCTACACAGCAAACTGTCAGCAAACTATGAATATCAGAGTTTCTTACAAATTATTCAGATCCAATGTTATTAAAAGAAATACTGGGTAAATGGGAAATCATTTCTCCTCATGACTGTGTGCACATAGATTAATGCTGACAACAGCCTATCCATACTACACCATGTAAGCATAAAAAAGAGAGACTGGAACAAATTAAGCTGATCTCAAGCAAGAGCTCTGGATGCTGTGTCTTACATTCCTTCATAAACTTAATTCTGCTAGGTCATGTTTCTACTTTTACTATGTTTTATATCATCACTTCTTTTTTAATTAACTATTTCCCACAAATCCAAATTAGTAATAAGTTATTTCTGGGAAGGATTATTAGAACATGCAACTGGGACTTCAAAATTTGATCATATTTCTCAGTTCTGCTCCATATTTAAACTCTTGAGTTCTTGTCAATAAAGTGGGCTAGTAACACACAGAGTGGAGGATAGAGCTGTTTAGAGATAACATATGAATAATTAACTGTGTTTTACTGTGTTTGCACTATGCATAGCTCACTTCGACTCCAATCTTCACTGTCCATAATACAAATAGTTAATAATTCTGTAACTGATTTTATCAGCAGAACTTGGAACCTAATAAGAGTTCTTCACTTCTGTAAGCGCTACCCTTAAAAAAACAAATGCAAACTCTTCATCAGTAACCTTTGTTTTACATTAGCTAGTATCTGATCTTCATTTCCCAGGAAAGTTAACAGTAATATTACCAACTTAAAATAACCACTGAGAAGTGGCCAATTTACATTTTCTTGGCACTCTAGGTAGTGGCACTGTGTACATACCCAAACCTGTTGGACAGCCCGAGTTTTCCAGAAGATGCTAAAAAGCGAGCCAGACGGATCTTGCAGGGCTGTGGAGGAAACAGCTTAGGTAAGTGTGTTTCAGTTGCTCCTATTGGTATTAGAACAACAAAGGTTGTTTCAATATCTGCCATGCTGAAATTTCTTAATTGTGTTTTATACAATTACAAGTCAAATGGAAGATGACCTAGAACAAAATGGGGAGCTAGGGGAGAGTTCACAGTGTAGCCTACCGATAAGCAGTGACTAAGGGTGCAGATTTTTCATGAGGACAAGATGGGGATTATACAGTTACAGAGCCCTCACCACAATAACATCTAGGCATAACCCTAAACAGAAAGCTGAGCTTTTTTGTATTAGAAAAGTAAGTGGCTGAGAGTACTAGTGAAGCTTTGTTGCTGTTCTTATGACATCTGTTAATCCTGGGCTCGGACAGATATGTCTCCTGCTAAGTCTAGGTGGGGCTGTTGAAAATTTACCATCTCTAGATGTTTCTGTGCCAAGGACTCTACTGTCCCTGTAGTAATGGTATGAACAAACGATATATGTCTGTCTCAGCTGATCCAGTTCACAGTCCTGTATCTTAATTTTGAACCATCGGTCCAAGTATGTTTGTCAGGATATGAACTGGGGTATCAGAAACTCAGGTACCAAGGCTTTGCAAAGGGAAGGCTATGCAGGTGAAATGTGGTAGCTTTTCACTTAGCTGAGATAGTTTTAACTGAAGATGTCAAAGCCCTATTTCTCCAAGGTAAAATAACCCTTGAAAGAACTAAAGAACTGTGTTCTTCAACCACTGTTCCTGCAAGAGTATACGTGTAGTACACACTAAATAAGTACAAACTTTGCATATTCAGTAGAGAGGAAATGGAAGAGACAAATTCTTTATCATCTAGCAACTGTACTGCCTACTTGTACCTGGGAAATGCCACTAGAATTTCTACTCTGCAAATAGTGTTACAGCTGCCGGGTACGGCAAAGAATCTGGCACACTCAATTACCTTCTTTCAGGTAGGCTGACGGTGACATTTCAGAGTATGTATTAGAGTAATTGGCTTATTTATTAATCTTTGTGATTGCATTGCCTATTTGCACTGGCATATTTTGAGAGTAGGAGCTGTGAAACTTAATAAAATAAACACCTAAACAGTGGTTATGTTAGCAGTATTTCAGCCTTGGACTATTCCTAACAACATAGCCTAATACAGAATTGTCCTGGGTTTGGCCAGGACAGGGTTAATTTTCACCGGACTCCAGGAAAGGGCACAGCCGGGGGGTGGGGGCTGACCCCACCTGGCCAAACAGAGCCCGGTATTCCATACCATGTGACGTCACGCTGGGTTCCGGTGGGGGGGCGGCGCGGGGGGAACGCACTCGCGGCTTGGGGGGGCGGGGGCGGCCGCGTGGCGCTTTTGTTGCTGGCGGCAGCTGAAACCAAAACAAGAATGTATTTTATCTTCACCTTTTTTGCACTGGTTTTGTTTCTATATGTAGCAGACTAAAAATACATTTATCAAAACTGAGAAGTTCCTCTAGCTCCATGAATCACTTTCCTGGCTTACTTTGGAACAAGTAATCCACATAATACTAGTTGTCATGTAAGAGTTACTGGGGATACATTTGAATTTTACCTCAATCTTTCTTTGTAGCAATTTTCAAATTCAGGGACATGGTAAGAGTTCTCAGAATGCTGAGTCTTGGCCCCATGCTGGAGTGAAATGAAAGGAATTCAGCCTTGCATGATATTTCAGAAATATGTTGACTTTGTACAAAATCCCCCTTCAGCAGAAGATCACATATTTCAAGTAATTTGTGTTAGCTCAGTAGATGCTGAGGAAATAGGCCTGAAACGTTGCAGTATTCAAATAAGATCATCATTCGGAATATGCCCTTTTAATTTCAGTGGATAAATTGAAGTTCTGTACATAACTGGAGTCTAAATCTTCCTGATACGATATGTACCAAGAATAACTGTCCTTCTAAATTCCTGAAAACCAAAAACACTGTAGACCTTACTGATCTGCTGTACTGGTTTATACCTTCTCTCCACCCTCCCTGTCTCCAGTGTCATATATAAGCCCCTTCTCTCGGCCTCAGTTGCTCATCAGCCTCTGTACAGCACTCCAGAAACACACAGTCTGAGGCAAGTGGATGTGCAGCTGAAGGCAAGTTACTCCTATCAGTCTGTTGGTGGTCTGACAACTTACTCCTGTTCTCTTCATGGCTGAAAAGGAGAAACTGTCTTTCTTGGGAAAAAGTAAAGGTCAAAAACTGATCCCTCCATGTCACTTTAAGTGCTGTGTTATGTTCTGATAGAACCTGATATTTTAAAAATAAAAATTTGAAAATTTTTTTTTTAAATTGTCAATCCAACACAGAGGTGGCTTCACTACATACAGTCAAGCTATTCAAAGCATTGTACCCACATCTATACCAGCCTATTTAAATGTATTAATTGCAGAGTTAAGATTAATGTCTTGACCTCTGGATATGAACTAGAATAAACCCACTTCCAATGAATGTTCACTTGGCAAACCCTACTCATAGTATTGAGTCTTGCTGCTCCCAGACTGTGTATGAAGTCTCAGATATGCCCTGATCTTCTGTTGTGTTCAAAGACTCTGGGATTCCTTTGACATGACTTACTCTGCATGTAGAATAACTGTCCTATCTTTCCAGGCAGTTGAGAAATTTACCCCTCTCCTATATATAAAAAGTATCTAATATATGCACTCGCAGCTTTTTGGGTTGGGTTTATTTATTTACATCCTACAGTGCAAACAGATGGGTTCTAGTGAAAGCTATCAATTGAGTACAATTAAGTGTAGAAGACCTGAAAATTGAATTCAGGTCTTCTGTATAACCTTACAGAGTCATGGGACTCAGCCCTCAATGGAGCTTAGGTTTGTTCTCGTACTTTAACAGCAGCTTCCTAGCTGTGGTCAAACACCCATGTGTAGACCCAATATAACTTTTAGTCCTGTAAAAGTAAACGTTCAGGACATCAGAGAACTCTGTGCCCTGAATTATCATTTTGTCCCATGCAATTGTGCAGTACTCAAAAAGGTTCTCTGTCTTTATAAATTATGCTTTCACAGAACTATTAAAAGGCAGGCTACTAGCATATAATTGAGTGATGAGAGCTAACTCAGGCACAATTATTCCACTCCACCCAACAAGCGAAGAAGATTCTGCAGCTTCATGACAGTGTTCTAAATTAAATATACACTTGTCACTTCATTGTCCGTCAGTCTTAGGCTTCATAACTTGAGTCCATTCCTCACCTTGGCTTAGGCTTATTTTTACTCTTTATTTGTTGCACATGCTCCACAATGATGCACACAGGCATCTAACATCTTAGTTTATTTACTATTGTTAGTTGTGCACTGTAAACTGCATGTGAGGCTTACAGATTGGGGTGATCCCAGATGTTTCTGCTACAAGTAACTGAAAAGCAGTTGTGGGAGATGCTGTGGGGGGAGAGAGAAGCAGTTTAGGATTTTTGGGGGTTTCAGACTGTGGTAGAAAATGGTCTTCTATTATTTTCATATTGCAAATAGAAGTCTTATTTTTGTCATGGATTTGAAGAAGTTATTTTCCTTTCTATTGCACATGCTACCTCTGTTCCTTGTTCCCACTACTTAAATGGGTGTTGGTTGACATTCTGAAATGGTTTTCAACATAAGGAAAGCAACTGGGAGACAGTCAAAATGGAATTGCTGTCCCAGTTTGCAAAGTCGCCTTTAAAGCCTACTGTTTACCAATCCAGTATATTAGTTTTGTATCTTAGTGATAGTTATTGTGTTAATCTAATTTCAAATGAATTCTTTTGCTCTATGAACAAACCAACTCCTTTCCTACTCCTTGAAAAAAAAAACCAATCCTGGGGATCCAAAGCCCTCATATATACAAAATACTTCATACAATACTAGCTCAGGAGTTTTGCTAGCAAACAGAAAATCTGATGTTCATTGTACTCAATTCTCATCTTATTCTCTGTTTTTCATAGGATCTTACAGTGCCAGTCAAGGTATAAATTGCATCCGTGAAGATGTTGCTTCATATATTGAAAGAAGAGATGGAGGGGTTCCTGCAGATCCAGATAACATATATCTTACCACTGGGGCAAGTGATGGTATTGCTGTAAGTTTTAAAATTAAACCTGTCTCTTCCTGGTATAAACTGTAAATTGTCAGTTACCTTTGGAAATACAGATCTCTATTGAACATCTGCTCTCACAAACTCCCTTGTGTTTGATCCAACAGATACTGACATCTCATTAAGTGGATATCCAATACACCCAATTATGTGGATATAAGATGCCAGCTAAGCAACAGGTGCCTGGAGACAAAGTCTCTTAATATACATTAACTTGTACCATTTGTAAAGGTAGTATAAACTACACAGGTGCCTAAATATACATTTAGGAGATTCAGACCATTCAGACTAAATAATGGTGTGCTCAGTGATTAAAATATGTAAGCACTGACGACTAGAGGGCATGAATCAGTGGCAGAGAGAAGAGGGAATGACCTCAGAGGTGGGAAGTCTCAGCAGCTCTTCTTCCTAGTAAACACTCTGCTAGTGCAGATTAATGGCAGTGAAAATCCCAAATATCTATTTCAACTTGTCTGGAAGAAAATTCAGGTTTTGGCTTCAACCAAGGTTCAAAGATGTTCCTCAGTTAAGACAGCAATAACTGCCTCTATTAGATTTTTCCTTTACACAGACACATTTACTGATACTACAACAACCAGCAGTTCTTTGCTTTTATTAAGGCAGCCTTTCATAGCTTGTTTGTAAAAGGTGGTGGGTTTTTTTAAATGACATCTAGTGGCAGAGTTCAGAATGGCAACGGTGTGACATGAACAGTTCTCCAGATGTCTCCAGTGAATTGGCTTTCCAGACTCTATGATGCCAAGTGTTATACTGAGAGCTTGTCGGGAATGGCAGCGCGGCATATCAAAGCTATACCATGCTTACTTGATTTCACCAGTAATGAAAAGTCCGCAGTACAATGAGTCTCATTACTTGGCACTTCCAAGGATAAAGCGACTATTGTTTCATAACTTGTGGGACAGAGGGTGTTAAAAGAGTTTTTAAATTTGCATTTGGTCCTGATTATACATTTTGGATGCTTGGTATTTTTAAACTAGTGGTGGGTACAAAATTATGTTGATTATAAATCCTTAGCTTAGCAGCTGAGTTAGTATGTGATGAGAGGCACAGAAAGGCAGATTTTGTTCTAGAACCAATGAGAAACTTAAAGGATACAACTGTTGTATCTGAAGAAATATTTTTGGTTTACACTATCCATTAACTGTTGATAAGGATACCTGCTTTGACTGAAACTGCAGTTCAGAGTTTTCCCTTGATTATAAAGGCAAGAAATCTCTCCACTTCTTGCACCAAATGCACTCTTTTATTTAATTCACATATAAAAAGCCTACACATAGACACACACGGACACACAGCTGTTGGGCACAGGTAAATCCTCTGTACTGACCTTAGCACAAGCATTACACTTCTGTCTGTATCTTTTGGGCACAAAGTGCATATGATACATTCGATTTCCATCCCAAGATATGCAGACTTTTGGTCTCTTCCATTACTTGAAAATGAAACCATAATGCGAGTGGCTAGCTTTGCTCCCACCTGGCCACAATTGCCCCTAATCTAAAATAGTTATCTCCGTTGGAAAGGAGAACCTCCACAGGCCCTAGTTCTAATTTCTGGTTTTATTTATTGGCCTCTTGTGTTTAGTGACATGAGTGGAAGGCAACAAGGAACAACTAGCTGAGGCTTGTTTGCTTATCACCGTGGCTTCCTGCTTCCAGCTCTCCCTCCAGCCTTGTGGCCAGTATGTTTTTCCTAAATTTTGGAGTTGATCAGACATGACCTTTAGAAGCCGTGACATGCAGAGGAATTCCATTAAGCTGAGTCAGACCATCCTCACTCAGCCAGTAACTTAACTTGAAATAAATAAATGCCCTTTGATATGAGAAAATGACTGTATGCTTCTAGAATAGCAATCTACCTTAAGTCCAGATTTTTAATGGAAGATCAGTAACTTATTCTAGAGTATACTATTGATTCTGGTATGTGATTTTTTTTTTTTTTTTTTTTCTACTTTCTCCCCAGACAATTTTAAAGATCCTGGTCTCAGGAGGTGGAAAATCCCGAACAGGAGTGATGATCCCTATACCACAATACCCCTTATATTCAGCAGCCATATCTGAACTAGATGCTATCCAGGTGAACTACTATTTGGATGAAGAAAATTGCTGGGCTTTAGATGTGAATGAACTTCGCCGTTCCTTGAATGAAGCTAAGGCATATTGCAACCCAAAAGTCCTCTGCATCATCAACCCCGGCAATCCCACAGGTCTATAGCAATTTTGTTTAATGGATGGGTTTTAAGACCCATTTTTTTTCCCTCTTTCACTCAACATTGCAGGCAAATCCTACATACATGTCACATATGTAAAGCTGAATTGTAGAGATCAGTGCTCTAAGCAGGACAGTATATCATACTTTTAGAAACTTCTTTTCAGTATCGTGGAACTCCAGGGATTTAGGAAGAAAGGAGGGAGCAGGTTCACTTCACTGGATCCCCTCTGAAGCCACTACTTCCACTGAACTCTTGCAGACTTCTGGAATGACTTTCAGTCACTCTTGGTCTTTATCAAAGACCTTGTCTCTGACATGGCCTGTAGCCTCTTGCCTCTGAGAGGCAATGACTACAGATACACTCTGAACTCAATGGCAACCACTGCCTTCCTCAGAACACTTTAGTTTTTTGGGTAGTTGAGGTTGATTAGTGAGAAACTAGCTCCCACTTGATTACTGTATCTCACACTTCCTTTGCTTGAGATGGACTATGTTACCTTGAACCACAATTCCTCAAAAACGTTCCTTATTTTCACACTTAGTGAATTGAATTCTAAAATTCAATAGCACTTTTCTGAGAAAGAGGGATATCTTACTGAAAAGCTAGTAGTCTAGGTCTGGGTGAAAGGATTTGTATATATGTGCTCCACTAACTTTCTTCTTGCTTTAAAAATCAAACTACAGGACAGGTGCAGAACAGAAAGTGCATTGAAGATGTGATACACTTTGCTTGGGAAGAGAAACTTTTTCTTCTGGCTGATGAGGTAATGGAATATTCTGTTCTCTCAAAAGCACAGCTAAGAGTAGGTGTAATTTTGTTCAATGTGTGGTGTTTTTTAAGCACAGGGAACAGACTCTCTGTTATCATAGTAAGACATGAACAAACATGGAAGATTCTTAACAACAGAAGATTAATATGAGAGGTGGCTTGATCTGGATTTGAACTAGAGGGAAAGCATAGGGGACACAAGCAAGGAGACACAAGCAGGAACTTGTTCTGGAACTGACCTAAAAACCTGTGTGATACTCAGACCACTTCAAATGAAAGAAACAGAAGGAAAATCAATTTAAACTTACAAGGAAAGGTGAAATTCTACAAAGAAGCTCACTGTTCTTCCAAAGGCTAAACTATTAAGTATGGCCACATGAGATAAAATGTATCATTACAGTAACTATTACTTGACAAAGAACCTTGTGTCTTCTAACTGCTTTAAGTTTTGAGTGTTACCACTGTTTCTTGAGTTCAGATCTGGCTCTCTAAAAGGCCATCTTTTATCCGTAGTTGGGGGAACAGAGCACATTAATGTCTTCTGACTGTTCAGGTTTACCAGGACAATGTGTACTCTGAAGGATGCCAGTTTCATTCTTTCAAAAAGATTCTGTATGAGATGGGACCCGAGTACTATAACAATGTTGAGCTGGCCTCTTTTCACTCCACCTCTAAGGGATACATGGGCGAGTAAGTCTGCTTTAGTTTTTTTATTTCATCTCCCTCATTAATCTGGTTGGACAGCCGTTTCATGTTAGTGACCTGAAGGTAATCCACTGTCTTCTATTAATTTCAACTAAAAACTATTAAGAAAAGGAAAACAAGCGTTTACAACACAGAGTAATGCATTAGCTTAGTGGTTTTCAAAGTACCAAATAATGAGTATATTTATTTCACACACCTAATGCCTCCGTTCCACAAAGGTGAAAACCGGACCTGTGATAAAGGCAAATACAGTCTCCATCATTCAAGGGAACCGCTTAAGAATCACTGGGACATTTGATATTACAAATGTTTGGGTTTGGTTGTTTTGGGGAGGAAGAGGTGGAAGAAAAATAATTTTCTGATTAAATGAATGCTGCTACAGCCATATGTTCTTGTTCTGAAGAGCAAACAATCCAAGTTAATTGTTAACTTGCCTAACAGGGAAGATGCATATACACAGTTTTCTCTGTATGGGATACTAGGGTTTAATGACATACCATTTAGTTCCATCTTAAAACATTATCAGTACAGCAGCTGTTTCAACAACCTGTATGTTACGTATTGTAAGATCTTCATTAATTGTCTTTCCACTTCTGCAGTTATTTTCATTGCTTTTCCAGTATTGATACGCTTGAGGTTAACAGATCTTTTCTGTTCACTTTAATCACAGATGTGGCTACAGAGGGGGTTACATGGAGGTCATTAACTTGCACCCAGAAATTAAAGGACAGCTTGTTAAGCTGCTTTCTGTTCGCCTTTGTCCGCCAGTCTCCGGACAAGCAGCAATGGATATTGTAGTGAATCCTCCCATACCTGGAGAAGAATCTTACTCACAGTTCATAAAGGTCAACAATAACATGCTTGCTCTTTTTGTGCATTTCCAAAATCTATCCTAAGTCTTGTGAACTCAAAATACACACACAGTCCAGACTTCTTTCGTCTCAGACAATCCTGTAATAACACCAATTGATGGAACTATGCAGGATATTTTAAATTAACTCAATATGACTACCTTTAAAAATATTTTTTATTCCTTTTATGGTTCCTTTGTTTAGGAGCCAAAACAAGCTAAGAAGGCATTATCAGATCAGCTTTCTTGCTGATAAATTCAACTTTTCTCCCGTGTTTAGCATGAGAAAAGAATTACTAAATAGGATTTGCTTTTACTAAAATCTAAACAGGGGTGTAAGTTCAAATACAGTTATAAAATCAGCCTGATTCTTAAGTATCCGCTGCCTCTGTATACATATACTCTGAACAACATGGTATTCTATATTAAAGTATACATAGTTTCTCACTTGTAAAAATGAAACTGAATCTGGCTTAAGAAATTACAGTATTGAGACAGATCAAAGGTTCAGTTTCTGCTCAGAAGGAAGAATGTAAGAAGAGGGCATGCAGATAGATGCTTCTGCAGTTTACTGTCTATCTAGAACACTTTGTAGTTGTATCCTGCTAATGCCTTTTTGCATTGCTGTCCTTAAGACTACAGCTGGAATTAGGAACATCATTTGCTCTAATAGCTCAGCAAAGCCTGAAAAGTGCTTAATTCGGGGAAGGCTTCCTGAAGCATCAGTTTTCTCTGGTGTTTTTATTGTTACTTCAAATATGTCACACTGCACACCTTCCTTTTAAACAGGAGAAAGAGTCTGTTTTGAATAACCTTGCCAAAAAAGCCAAACTAACAGAAGACATGTTTAACAAGGTACCAGGAATTCACTGCAATCCACTTCAAGGAGCTATGTATGCTTTCCCACGGATCTTTATTCCTTCCAAAGCCATTGAGGAAGCAAAGGTCAGTCAGTCATTTTACCCTAATCCATTTTAACCTTCACACACTTGTGCTTGCCACTTATAATGACGAATTTTTATTCCAGAGATAGAATAAGCTCATGTAGTTACAGAAGCAGGACTTCATTGAACTACGTATGATCTTAAATATAACATGACCTTTATTTTAAGAGAGGAAAACAAAACAGAGCATTTCATCACAGTGGTAAGGCTTCCAGGTTGAGAATGCTACCCAAGGATGTTAGTGTTAAATAGATTACATCATAGGGTGGGCAAGTAGCTGGAACTGTGCAAATTCCAAATTGCTGCCTGTGCCTGGGCTAGGCAAGCCAGCATATGCGACAGGGCTTGCGAATGGCAGTGTGCTACTGACCCTGCAAAAGAAGCCCCATTCAGCAAGTGTGGGAAAGAGGGAGGCAGGCTTCCTTACAAATTCTACTTCCGTACAATACCTTTTTGTATTTGGGTTGGTAAGCTACGTTACTAAATGACCAGTCTTTTTGTTCCTAACTAGATCTCCATTACCTAATGTGTAACATTCACTTTTTAAAGGGAGTTTTATCAACATAGCTGAGGACAAAAATAGGGCTGTTTTTCAGCTGATTATTTGATTAGGCATATAACCTGCATGTATTTAAGAACTTCCATAGTTATTAATCAGGGGACTTTATAGTCAGCAGATAATTCAGGGGAAAAAATAGTAACTGCCAATGGAACTGGAACACACAGCTCTCAAATTAATTTCGTCTTGTCAAATGTCAGTGGGTTAGATTTTTGTAAGTATAATTTTGAGACATTTGACAAAAGTTACAAGCAAGTCAAGGAGAAAAACAAAAATATGTAAAACCTTTCTTTTGAAGTGAGTGTTTTGTGCAGGTTCTTCAGACTTGTTCCTTCATGAAGTAGTTATTTAATTCACAGTGTGAACTGTCCCATTAACAACTGTTCTTAATCTTCTTTAGTAAATAGAATAAGAAACTAATAATATGAGATAAGGTTTCAGGGAAAAAAGCAGTCATGACATTCTATATATTTGGAATATTTTGACTTCAGTAATTCCAAAGCATCCCTTCTCTTAGGCGCATAAAATGGCACCTGATATGTTCTACTGCATGAAACTTCTGGAAGAGACTGGAATATGTGTTGTACCTGGAAGTGGATTCGGCCAAAGAGAAGGAAGCTACCATTTCAGGTACAGTTTCTGTTTGTTTAAAATCAAATGAACTGTAATAAGCTAAGTACCATCCCACCACTTTCTCTTCTGATTAAATATAAGGATTTTCATTTCAGTTTATGTTGTCTCACTTCCTACTGGATATTTTCTGTAGACCAACAGCTAGGTCAAAGACCTGGTCTGCTAGATAGAGCTATTCAGGTTTTTACAGTGTTTTCACAGCTTGCTGACATAGTTTTACTCTATTTTTATACAATGACATTTGAAATGCTTTCTCCATGAATACAAGAAATAATAATAGCTTATACTCTAATCTTAAAGTTGGCTAAGGCATTACAGAAATTGCCCTGCTTTCTTCGGGGGTGGGGGGATTGAACAGTGTTCCCGTATGGAGAAACTGCATGAAAGATGCAGTATCTTCCCTATAAATCTGCTCCCTAAACATGCTGAATAACTCTTCACTGTACCAAAACAAGATGTTGGACTGAATCTTCTAATACCAAAACTGTGAACGTAAATTCTATTGCTTTTGCTTCCAATAAAAAGCACTTTACTCCAGCCAAGCCACTGACAGCTAGAATTTATCATGGAATTTATTCTTGTTCAGTCTGAAGCAACGTAACAGAGGGTACCTTTAGCAATGATAGTTCTGCAACACAGATAACTGGGTTAGACATCTGGGTGCATGCAGCTCCCGGAAGAAGCTAGTGTGAGTCCATTCCTGTACCAGTGTGGGAAAAACATTTTTTTCTGTAGGCCTTGCATACAGTCTTGTATATATACTTAACATGATTTTCAGATTATGCAGAAGGAAAAAGGGACTAAAAACTGCAGTGTGGGATATTGAATTGTTGTAATGCTTCTCAATTAAGTTTTCAATTAAAAAAGACATGTACGTTTACTCACAACTGCCTGCCCCTAAAGCTCAAAAACCTGGGTATAATTTGGCATAACTGCTCCAAAAATGGAAAATGAATTGCTGTAATTTCTTACTGATAACTTTCTTTATCACTCAACAGAAGATAAAAATTCTTGAATTCCCATATATTAACTAATTAAAACAAATTACTCTAGTTTAATAGTATAGTTCAATTAAAGCATAAATGCAGAAAAGAAGAAAATCACATCAAAACAGATATTAAACTTAACACATTACTAGCTGTGCCCTGAGATTAATCAAGATCTGTGCAAAGTTCACAGTTTAGTTTGTTTTGACAATAATGTGAGTTGTTTTTTTTCTTCCTTTAAATATTATTTTTCAGAATGACCATTCTTCCTCCAGTAGAGAAGCTGAAGATCCTACTGGAGAAAGTGAAAGACTTCCACATAGAGTTTCTTGAAAAATACGCATGAAACTGTGGCTTTTTCCCCTCATCCTCTCCCCTTTAAGGCGAATGCAGAAAATGAACGAAGACGTGCTAAGAATGTGCTGTTCATCTAATTTAACGAAATTCTAAATAGACAGAATCCATCTCAGATACTGCTACAACTTATTGGACTATTAAATTTAATGTCTGGTATAGAAGATGTTACACCAACTTTTTTTTTAAGGGGAAGTGGAGAATGTGAAGAAAGCAGTGAGAAGAAAGAGTCAGTAAATGATTTTGTGCCTTGATTGGAAGTTACATTCATGAACTTTTGACTCAATAGGTTGGGGAAAGGAGTTGCTCATTAAAATTACTTTGTTGTGTGTTTTTTGTTTTTACAAAACAGAAATGCCAAGAGCAACTGTTTAGCTAGGAACATGTTTCCCATCTTAAAATTCTACTAAACAAAAATTCAAAAGCCTACATTATAGGTGTTGTTTAATTTACTTTTTTCTGTTCTTGTTAAGTATGAAGTGTTCTCCAAATCTGATTAAGCATGTAGGTACAGTGTACTTATTTAAACAAAAAATCTTTGGCAGATGTACACAGGTACCTTTGAACTTCTGTTAAAAAGAAATCCTGCCATCATAGCATAATCTGAGTGGAATGTATAATTTGGATCAGAGGAGTGAACACGGTGCCTGCTTGAACCCTAGTTTTATGGAACTGAAACATAATGAGGAATATTAGCTTCTTATTCATATGCTATTCAACACGTTATCCCAGCATAAAAGTATTGAACACTTCCTCTCATAACAACTCCATGAGTCTCCTGTTAACTCACATCTTTCATATACATGGGACATAGTAAGTTACTGCTTCAAAGCAGCTGTGAGTACTGTCAATCCTTTCAAGCAGGGTAGAATGCAACACTATTGCAGAATCGCTTTATCTATGGAGACCATTTGTTTGGAACCACATGACTGAGACCCGTTAGCTGGCCAAAATCCAGCTTGAGCTGGCAAGGACTAACAAATGTTGTTACCAGGAGAAATGCTGGGGGTGGTTTCTAATGAGGAAAAGGTATTTAAGGGAAAATGTCTTGCACCAAGCATGAAGATAACGACAATACAGCTCACTGTTACATCTTCCACAGTCATACTGCTGGCTGAATGATCCTGAGTGCTTATTAAAACCCAGTTAAACCAGGTCACTATCTAGGAGTACAGCTGTGTTACTCTACTAATCTATGCCAGTTTCCCTGCACAACAAAAGGCGGTTTCTGTCTCTCTAGAGTTGGAAGCTGGACACCTTCTGCTAGCACTAATAAAGGACTGAAGGAACACAGCTTCCAGTGTTCAGCCATGAAAGCATTAGCATTTGTCAGGCTTAGGCCCAGTATTTACAAAGTTTATTCATTAAGAATATTTCATTAATCTAGTAATTAATTTTAAGTTATTATTTAGAAGTAAACTCATTTTAATGTCTACTAGCACTTTGTTAGGCTGCCTTTGTAGCTGGTTCAACACCCTATGCTGATCCAGGTTACTAAAGCCAAGGGCTAGAGAATCACCATATGGATAAAGCATGTGCCAACCTATTATGTGTGGAAGATGAGATGTTGCCAATAATTGTCCTTGCAACAGCAGCTACTAGTCTATGACACAGCATTAGCAGCTGGTGTACTTCTCAGAGTTCCTTACTGAAGTCTGTGAGAAGAATTTAGTACTCCTCAATCACCTGCCAGTGGTCATGGGTTCACAAATGAAAATGGCACGCTGCTACACAGTTACTTGCAGAAAAAAACCCTCTACTTTTATCCTTGGAGAAAGGGACTTCTTGAAGGACAAGCAGACTGAGAACACTTATCCATTGATAAATACAATCTTTTATCTGTTAGCACTCTCCACTTGGCATCCTTAATATGCACTAATAAAACAAATCCAGAAAGCAAAACCATAGTAAGAGGTCAGAATATTGATGTAAAAATAAGATACTTTCCTATTCTAGGAATGTGTGCAAATCAGATCTGGCTTTGGACTAGTAATGCAGTGTAGATTGAAGCTAAGATCTAACAATGGGAGTTAGAATATTTTTTTATATTTTTGTAACTACAGCTTTTTCATGGGGTAGTATTTGTAATCTAATAAGTCAATAGATTTTATATTTGCCTTGCATTTGCACCTGATACTTCTGGAAAAAAAAAAGTAAAGGTTTACAAGTTTCTAATGATAATTTACAGATGTGAAACGCTTCTTGTTTTAAGTCAGGACAGCAATTCTTACACTTTTAAATCAAAATGGAATGGCATAAACTGAGTTTTTTCTAAACATTCTATTATGGTGCCTTTTATGTTTCTGACATTATAAGGGATAACAATCTGTTCTTGATGCATCTCATATGGAGGGGTGGTGTTTTCTATTGTCCATCCACAATATTTGTATGTACTGTGATAAGGTTAATGTGCATTTTTGTGGAACAATCCTGTAAAGCTAAGAAAAGAGGCTTATTTTCAATGTCTTTGAAATATTTCATTAATAACAGACAATCCATACTTTTAAATGCATGCTTCTAGGTTTGATTTTCCTACAGGTGCTCCTTATAATGGTACTTCAGATGTATGAGACTTCCAAATAATAAAGCACATGTTAAAAAAAAAAAAAGTTCTCCATTTCCTATGTCACTGAAGCAACACTTGCTGGATTGCACTATGAGGCATTTAACTTCATGTGCAAATTAGTATTTACTTTAATCAACGTACCAGATCATTAATTTCTGCATCACTCCAATTTATGGACTTGAAATTTGTCAAACTTTTTACCACAAAAATATTCCCTACCCATGGAGAACTGTACATAGAGATTGTCTTAGGCAAGTTTTATGCTCATAACTAATCATATCATTTTATGTAAGGAGTTGTAACCAGGACTTAAGCAAGCCAGACTTCTTTCTTCATAAAGAGGATCAATCAGTCAGTTACGGCTGATGAAAGCTTGATGAAAGGGTTTGTTTGGTATTGTTGGTTGCTTCCTTTTAAAAAAAAAATTCTAATACAGCTTGTATGAGATTAAACTTACAGAGCAACACAATCTTGTCTTTTTGCATGGACACCTCAGAGTGACTTTAGCAGTGTTTGTTTTGTAATTCAAAAGGGAATGAAGTTTAGGGAAAGGAAAGCTAGCCCTGCTTCCCTAAACATATATGTATATGCCAGCACCACTAAAAAATGCAAAAGCAGGCTGTTCTCTTTGTATCAGGTATTTGAGTGCTTTCTGGAGCAGAAGCATTAACCTGTTTTTTTTTGGGAGTAGGCTGTTTGTTTTACAAACAAGGACATGGTCTGATATCAAATGGTTTGGTTTGATATAAAGTGGTTATATTATGAATTGTCAGTCAGATTATTTTACAGCTTTTTTTGAGTAACGTAGGCTGTCCCATCTGGATCAGTATATAAGGATACTGTGCCAGACGCATAGGATACAGAACAAGCTGCTAACTTCAGAGAACTTGCCACATCAACTGCATCCACAGTGCGAAAACCACTGGTGCTTTAAAACATTATCTAAATTTCTTTCTGCACAGCTCCTTGGTCAATAAAGTATACAGGTTTGATTATTTGTACAAAACCTAAGATACTCATACCTCTGGCGTGATTTTTTATTTGGATGCATGTAAGACAGTAACTTTCTGCAAGGAATTCTACTCTTAAGGATATGTCTTTGAATGTTTTTATACATTCGATACTATGGGTAGTCTGGCCTTTCTAATGTTCCACATTATTACATGTTTATTACACACTCTCTTCACCTGATTGGAACTTACACCACCTGTAGCTATTTGCATCGGGCAGAACAGCTTATTCCCTTTGCCAGCTTTGGAGCAGCGCGCGTTCTGCACGCCGAGCGCCAGCAAGGCCGCTGGAACCAACCCTCAGCGCGGCAGCAGGGTCCTTCCCCCGCGGCAGCAACGCTTCCCCGCACCTGCCCGCACCCCGGCAGCAGGACC